GATTTTCAGCATCATTACTCCAGTCTTCAGTGTCACATGATCCTTCAGAAATCATTCTGATATCTTGATTTATAATCAATGTTGGAAACACTTGTGCTGCTTAATATTTTTGGGACCTGTGATAAAAACAAATTCTGGATTCTTTAATAAATATAATGTTAAAAAGAACAGTGTTTATTCAAAATATAAATGTTTTGTTACAATATACAGTAAACTACTATTCAAAAGTTTGGGGTCAGTGAAGTTTTTTTTTTCTTTCTTTCTTTTTTTTTTTTTAAAGAAATTAATACTTTTATTCGGCAAGGATGTGTTAAATGGATAAAAAGTGATAGTAAAGACTTGGGTTGTTAGAAAAGATTTCTATTTTGAATAAATGCTGTTCTTTTTTAAACTTTTTATTAATCAAAGATTTAAAGAAAAAGTGTGACGGGTTCCAAAAAAAATATTAAGCATCACAACAGTTTCAACACTGATAATAAATCAGTATATTAGAATGATTTCTGAAAGATCATGTGACTCCGAAGTCACAGAAATCGTCTCAGGTTACTTATGTAACCATGGTTCCCTGAGTAGGGAACGAGACACTGCGTCCTCTAGGTTTCCCATAGCGACCCCTAGAGGACGCAGTTCGAAGTTCCCATGAAAGGGAACGTCTCAGGTTACTTATGTAACCATGGTTCCCTGAGTAAGGAACGAGACACTGCGTCCTCTAGGAACAATTATATTCTAAAGTAAATTAAAATAGGAACTCGATATTAGAAATTGCAATAATATTTCACAATATCACTGTTTCTACTGTATTTTTGATCAAATAAATACAGCCTTAAGAGACTAAAAAAACATTAAAAACCTTACAGATCACAAACGTTTGAATGGCAGTGTATATATAGGCTAATGTAGGCTAAAATAGGCTTTGCTGATGATATGAAAAAAATTCTAATTTCTAATTTATCTCTTGATATTGGAGTGAAATATGACTTGAGATTCACCTACAGTCTTATCTGGGTTGCTGTACAGCTTATGTTGATGTACCTCTACAGGTCATATTTTACCAAATGTTTTTACTTCCCCCAAAAGTTTCCTACTAACCCCAGAAAAAAACTGTGCCAAATATCGACTTGCTTTGTTTAATAGTACAAAGTATGTGTCCCTTTTTATAGCATTCGAGTGGAATGTGTTTCCTGACACTATAGTCTCATTAAATGATGCCAATCCCAGTATAACCATAGTTAGTAGGTTTGTTTGTGTTAGTGTCCTCTCACCAGCGTGTTCTGCATTAGTCTAACGGTGTTTTGGCCAGGTTTATGACTCGACCACCAACACTTCTTTAGATAAAATGCTTTATGTTCATTCCTGACACGCCATCTGTCCCGCAGGGCAAACATCCGCACCGGATCGGTCCAAACAAGTCCCACCAGCACGCCACTATCGAGTCGGAGAGGTCGGCAGCTACCGCAAGTCCCACCGAAGGGCTCTGTGGACAGAAGTGAGTAGATCAACTAGGCTTCTACCAAATTGCAGGGTTTGTGGCGCTTGAGTGGAAAACTTGTATAATTGGACAGGTTTAGAGTCACAAGATGTGTTTATGTGGACGATAAGAGTAACCTTTCCATTGGGTAACTGACAGAAGTTCAACAAACAAGGAAAGCAAACAACTACTATTGCACAATAGTTATCACAAAAAAATGGCTTATGCATAAACAATCAGTCAAGTAAAGAATATTGTGTAACAATAGAATAATAGAATTCTCCTTTACATAACACAGCATGGATTGTTTTTTTCCCCAGAAGATGGCGAGGGCATTACCGAGCCTTATGAAGGTCTGTAAGCACTAGCTTCTGTGTGTTTAGCCTCGTCTCCGTCTTCTTTATTACAGCTTTATCATCTCCTCTGTTTGATTCAACCTGTGAGCTTTACCTGTCGTTGGTCTAGCTTCCACCGTTCGTTTAGTGGAGTGAACAGATGTTTTAATTTGTGCTTCAGCCATGTTAGCGCAATCAGCAGTGCTGTACGTGTATCATTATAGATGTATGCTGTGTAGTCTATGTACTTCGTCTATGTCTGGATTAATGTCCAAATCTGCTACAGTGGATATCAAAAGTACCCAAGACTGTTTTTGCCATGAAATAAAATAGGTAATTTGTAACTTTATCTTACAATTCTGACTTTATTTTTTTTTTGCCATTGTGATTTTTATGTCTCACAATTAGTACTGTTTTCTTGGAAAATCAGAATTGCAAGATTTTCACTCAAAATTGCAAAACACTGATTTGGAATTGTGAGAAATGAAGTCAGAATTGTGTTCCAAACTTTCAATTCTGGGAGAAAAGTCCAAATTGCAAGATAACTAGCAATTCTGAGATAAAAGTCTGAATTGCGATATGTTAACTCAATATTATGAGATATAAATCATCGCAGTTACCTTTTTTGTATCTTTATTCTATAGCATAAACAGACATCCATACAAATCAGTGTGCCCTTATTGAAATTTGTTGGGGTAAAAGCAATTTATGTCAGACTTTTAATGTTAGTAGCATCTTCTGGCAGCATTTAAGTTGCAGAATAGCCAGGCTAAGTTCTGGTATGTTAATAGCAGCGGCTCTGCAACCTAATCATTGGCATAAGAGCAATGTTGTGAGACGAATATATATTTATATTGTGTTTTAGAAATGGCAGTCTACTTCTAGCAGTGATCCTCTCAGTCACAGAGTGATAGTCACGGTTTATTAGTCACCTAGTGATGTTTTGGTTTGTTTTCTCTTTTGATTGGCACAACTCATCAACCAATGAAGCAGGAACAGGGGCGGTACCTCAGCCTCCTGCTCCGCCCCCTGTTCTGTCCCAGCTTCCACAGACTCTGGCTGGTAACTTATATTTAGGACACATAGGACGCTTATCGTCAGTCAAATGCAAATATGATCTTGATATTCTGCCATTTACATCAAAGTTTGTTGATAGACTATGTATAGTACATTTCAATGGGCCTCTACACTTTTATATTATTGAATTATTCAGTTTGCAAAATTATATTTGCATTTGAGGTTACTGTAGCATACAGTAGTTAGTATATTTAGTGACCAAGTGGAGTAAATTAGCATAGAACATTATTTTAGCTTTTCTTTTCACATTTTTGTTGTTCTCCTCTCCATGTCTGATGGCATACTTCTGTTTGTCTTTCCTTCTCTCATTTCTGTCTGAATGTTGAAACGGTGGGAGGGGCTTCACAACCCCCGGCCCCGCC